AACGGTTGAGCTAATCATTAACTCGGCTAAAATTCTCTGTCGTCACATGTATTTCTAAAAAGTTGTAATTAGAAATGTTGAGAAAATTAAACATAAAATTCAAGACGAAACCATTTCTAGAAAGATGAAGTGTGATGACATTTTTGACCTTTGAATGCTGTTGTAATTGACATTGGTGCATGTTTTACTTGCAGTGGGGTGTTACAGCAGAACTGCATTCCTCTTAATCAAACGATATAAATGATTATTTTTTTGTTTGTTTGTTACTGAAGCTCATGTTTGTTGTGTAGTATAACAAAGTGCAATATATACCACAATGGAAGAAATGGTACTTGTTTAATACTGGAATCTGTTGCATTTACATTAGCTTGTAAACTTTTAACAAGAAAAGAAACGTGAATATACAACAAAATGTAAACTGCATTGACACTTGTTCTTTGGTATTGTTTAAGAAGATAATAAACGTGCTTGAAACGAATGTTTCTTGAGAAAATGCTACAAAGCAGACTACAACTGTTAGGTTGCTTGATTGTATGGTGTTGAGAAATAGTTGTCATTGAAAATGATCTTATGTATTGTGTATGACAATTTTTACTGGATGATAAACCAATTATAATGGTTTTATTTAGCAAGCTTCAAACTTCGTTTAAAGTGTGGTTGAGAGTTGCAGCTATTTTAGCGTGTAGCATTTTGGATTAGCTTTGAAGTAAGCTGTCTACAGTGTCTTCCTGGTTACAAAACTAAACACAAAACTAGGAACGAAAAAAAAAATAACTCAACAAAATATATAGTATATAGTATAGCAGTTTTTAGTATAAAATGTTTCTGAGCTAGTCATCCTATTTGTTTTCTTACTAATAACTCAACAAAACATATAGTATATACCTTATAACTGTTGTTAGTGTAAAATGTTTCTGAGCTAGTCATCCTTTTTGGTTTCTGTGATTTGATAGGATACTGTGTCTTGGTTTATATGAGGCAATCTCGTACCCAGAGCCCTTATTTCTTACTGCGCATGCTCGACGAAATAATTGGGCTCTGGAAAACTCCTATATTTCCTGTGCTGTGATTGGTTCTCGCGAACAAAGGAAGATACCGGAAGTAAAAATTACAGTACTAGGGAAAATAAACAAGATGGCGTCTCGAATTAAGTACACCAAATAAGCCTGTAGGGCCGGATTTTTCAAAGTTTTGCCGGTTTTGTAATGGAAATTGTATTGATGTCCATCCAATAGATTATTTTCGGAGTTAATTTAACTGAAAACCATCTTCAAAACCTAATTTTCCAAGGGCAAATTCACATGCTCGTTGAACATCGTCCGCCATTTTGAATTTACCTAGTCTGTCATAATGCGCATGTGCGAGAAACCCAGAATCTGGGTCTTCCGGTTTGGAGTTTTTCAGAGCCCAATTATTTCGTCGAGCATGCGCAGTAAGAAATAAGGGCTCTGGGTACGAGATTGTATATGTGGTTGCATCATTTCCTGATCATGATTTGTTGCTTTGCATCAGGTGGCATTAAGTTTGAAAGTTGCTGATCATCAGCCTCTAATATCTCAGCGTGCTCTATAATCCTTTTATGAACATCAATTCTCATGGTGAAATTTAACTTTAGCACGTTCATGATGTCTTTTGTAGATGGTTGGGTTGTCTTTGGCTCCATCCATTTGCAGATGTTCGGTTGGTCTCCGGTGTAATAGCCACAGCTGACCTCACGATCGACATAGAATGGAATTCAATTCAATTCCTGATAAATAGTAATGATATAACATTTGTATAGCGCAGATTAGCGTTTTTTTATTATGTAATATCCTCTATATATTATTAATAGATTGCATTTGGTCAAACTGTTTAAGTTGACGTTCAAAGCAAATGTTTTTAATGTTTTAAAAATCCCATATTCATCAAAGTTAAATTGCAATTGAATAAATATTTTGACCTACACATAATGAATAAAACTAATTGTAACAATATAGATATTTCCTTAATAAANATCCTTAAATCTTCTACTGTGGTTTCTAACTCTTTGACTTTTAATTTCAGTTCTTCTTTGTTGGAGTTCTCGCTTTCCAATGCTTTCTTAAGAACATCGACTTCAAACTTGACATTGTTTACCGTACCATCACAGAACGCCATTGCCGATTTCAAATCATTGATATCCTCTTTGTTTGAGGCGCTGCTTTTTTCCAAGTTGGTGGTTCTTTCCTCAAGTTTATGAAGTGAAGTTTGGATATTAGTCACTGCCGATTCAATAGAGTCTAATTTAGTTAACTTTTTCAATACATCGTCCATTTTCTCGCATAGTTCTTTCGTCATATCAAGAGCGATCAGCACTTCGTCGTTCTCTTCAGTCGAGTGTTCTTCAGTCGATTTCTTTTCTAAATTTTTCACCTTCTTGGAATCCGGAGAGCCCACTGAGTCTGTTGAAGATTTAGATGACCTTGTTCTTCTTTTTCCTTGATTGTTTGATAAGAAACTAACCATTCGATAGAAAATATTTGGAATTTCGCGGGAGAGAGAGAAAAACGGCAACCTCACTCAACCATGTCTCGCCCCAGTCTCATTTGTATTTTGAACTACATATAATGAATAAAACTAATTGTAACAATATAGATATTTCCTTAATAAAAAAAATTTACAAACATAAAATATATATTTCATAATATAATAATATATATCTATATAATAATTTCAAMATTTTAATTAAATATTGTAAATTTATTAAATTTAAATTTTATATACACAGCATACTATAATAACATTGGACCCAGGGCCCGGTTGTTAAARTCCCAATCATAGGATTACTTCAATTAAATCGTCAGAGTTAACCCTGAATCAGCACTAATCAGGCTTTTAACAACGGGGCCCAGATGATAACTGGGGAGTTGCAACGATTTGGTGAAAAACCCAAATGTTTCTCGCCTGGCCTCAATTCATACACCAATAATTCGGCTACTGACACCACTTAATAAGGTAAATACTCCACACTTGATAATGCATAATAATCAATTATAACCACAACCCTAGCTTATTGGCTGAATATCTCTCTCTAAATAACTTTCAAGTTCTTGTCCATTTGGATGACCTGTTAAAATTGTAGCTACATTGCTTGCAGTGAGCCGGTCATCCTCTTCCAGAAAAGTTGACATGTAATCTTCTTTGGTAATACTGTATTTGGCAAGCTTTGCCTGGAGATTATCATCAGGCAAGTGCTTGTAGAAAATCTTCAATTTGTTTATCACCTTATGTATCCCCAAACCCTCAGCTTCTAACTGTTGCTTGGGGACGACAACAGGATGAGAAACGTATGGACACACGCCTGGCTGTAGTGTATGGCCCTTTCATCATGATTACCTGTCTTGTGACTTCTTCTGTCTCAATTCCGACTTTAACACTAGTACTCTTGGAAGGGTTAGGATTAAGCTCGCAGGCCTGTGGTTAATAAAAACAAATATAATGAAAACTAACAGCAKGAATATGAACTGCAAGTGCAGTATGTGAGATAATATTGTAGGCATAAATATGTCCTTCCTTTTAATCTATTATGCAATTTGTTTTTTTATATATTGTAATTTTAAGAGCCATTCCCTTTTCAGTGATAACAGGCAAGTGGCACAAGATTAGTGAAGTTGATTGGTGTAGAAATGTTGGCAGTTGACAAGGCTCACAATCCAACACATTTTCTCTCTCATACGAATTATAATTATATATTAATAATTCAGGATAATTTGTAATCTTGAGTGAGTTCCCCACCCCCTTTCCAGAAATAGTTGCTAGCATGCTTTTAAATAGGGCTGTAAGAAAATCAAAATAAGCAAACAGACAAAAAAGGCTGAAAAGTCCATCTGTTTTCAATCAAAATAATTTAATTTTAATAGGCCAATTTTTGCTTTATGCAGACATAAGAGTTGCCAATACTGACATAAAAAAAAGAACTTTCAAGTTTCAACTTTCAAGTTTGTCACTGCAAAGTAAGAAAGTGGCGCCTTTCATGTCTCGAAGAATCTTCAACATTTCACAGGGCTAGCACCGTATTGTGTATCAGGAAAGATAACCAAAGTAGTAAATATTCAAGAAAAACGTTTTATCAGTGAGGAATTGCAGTATTTTCAAAAGCGATGAATAAAAAGCTATTTTGCACAAGGCGGCTGGATGTGTGAAACGTTGTTGGACAATCTACGAGCCAAGACACAAGTGTGGCGAGAGTATATTTTCATCATAATAGCTATATTCATGAACAACATCATATGCAAGGTTGAATCGATCTGTATTGGTTTGCTGTTTTTCCATGACTTGCTTTAGGTGACATATTGTATCGTTTCTTTCTCTTTGGTGTCTTCTTTCCACCGAAGGACTTTGAAGCCAGTTCCCAGTTTAGACTGCATTCGAATGCAAGAAGAACGGGAAATGCTGAGACCCAGAGAACACCTCTCCAAAGCAAGTGCTTTCAGACCACCATGTAATAACAACAATCCATTTCTGTAGTGACTGCATTGATAACACATTGAGAAGTGATATTATCCCAATTATTAAATCGTGCTGCATGGGCAGTTGAGGRATAAGCAATTCATTTTCGGCATACTGATAAAGAATTCTGATAAATAAAAAAAAACGATTGCTGTAGAAATTACATTTATGAATTCTGGAAATGGAAGGTAGTCCATGTTGAAGGTCACTGAACACTACCTTCATATTGTTGCGTGTGACATATTTCGTTGTGATTGTGATTGTATGTCCTTAATAACCAATCAGAAAATCAAAAAATACATGCTTTCTTCTCTTGTGATTTTTTTTTTGTCTTCTATGACAAGCAGAAATAATTAAACAGTGTATGATTTTACACATCTAGCAAATGGAATGTGAAAGTTATCAATACTGCCAACTGGACTTGCTAAATTCACGTGCTCTAATTTAGTATAAATAATTTCACAATTCGTATTTTGTATCGTTGATTCAACTCTTGGACTCATGGACTCAACTCAGCAAAGCAATCTGGAAGGTAGGTTTTATGGGAGAAAAAATGGGCGTACTGGTGACCTTTTTTCACAACAGAAACTAATACTAGGAACACTACTAGAGCTCGAAAGGATGCAATTGGAGAAGATGAACTGTATCTATGTAGAAAAGCTGTGGAAAAACATGGTAATAATTGGAAAGAGATACTGAATTTCATGTACCGAAATGGGCAATTTCTTCCGCCAGCTGTATTCTCTAAATATAAAGCAGGGATAGAAGATGAGAAGAAAACGAAGCCAATTCGTAGTCGTATTGCTAACCTSGGCAGAAGAGTAAAGTWWKTYKYWT